AAACATATATGGTAACTCATGGATCATAACCACATAAGAAAGAATCTCTCTTACTCTTAAATAATCATATCTAAACTTTTGCACAATGGTAATACTTTCTAAATGACCCAACATCGTAGAGATGGTAAGTATTTGTTGCCTACTCATAGTCAATTTCCTCTTTGCATAACTTTTCAAATGTCTAAGGTATTGTGATGTTGCCCTTGTCTTGTTAATTACAAGTTAAAGCTTATAATAAATACATTCTGCCTTTTTTGTTCCATCTTCAAAATTGATTCTATTTTTCATCATCACCTAATTCATTAAGTGTAATATTTTCGTTGTCTATGGATTGGTATGCTTCTAAATTTAAATTCTCAATTTCCAAACATGCGTTTGAATATTGAGTAGAAATATGTGTTGTAGAGTCATTTGGATTTATGTTCAGGTGTGTCTCATTACCTTGGATTTACCCCAACTATATCACGCGTAGATAATGCAAAATTATGATTATTTTCTATCAGCACCTGTCGAATTGATTTTTTAACATTTATGCACAACCCTGACCCTAGCTTCACCTTCTTCTCATTATTTATCTCCACACTTTCAAGTTTATCACCTTCTTCTCATTATTTATCTCCATGCTTTCAAGTTCATCACCTTCTTCTCATTATCTATCTCCATACTTTCAAGTTCATCTTGGTTCAGGATTATGCTCTATTCGTTCTCTCGACATGTCAAAAGGAGTTGAGGTTTCGACCTATACCTTTGTTATGTGAACTTAGCTCACGCACATAGTTCGCAAAGATATATTAGCTCCTTTTCTGACCTAACATGTAGGCTTCTTGAGTCTCTCTTTAATTGCAGCCTGACCACTACAATGTCACAATCATTATAAGCATGAAATTTCATTGATAAATACTTGATTGACGTGCATGCTACTAAGTGGTATAATGTTGATTGATCTAATATCGCATTGTAGGGAAAAGGAACATCCACTATCATAAATTTTGCTTTGAAGATTCTTGTATGCTCTTTTTCACCCAATTCCATTGAAGAATTGATGGAATCCTCTACTCAGATGTGTTTACCTGCTAATCCTACTAATGGAGTGCGAACTTGCCTCAACTTCATCACATCAAGATTTTAATACTTAAAAACCTCAAAAGTTATAAGGTTGATTGCACTCTCATCTCATAAGGATCCTTTTTACCATAAAGTTCTTTAATATCCCTCGATCACTAAAGCATTAGTATGAGGGAACTAGACATTCCTGCCATCTTTTTCCATGAAGGTCAATGATCTTCTCTCTATATCCACCTTTGTGCTTAAATAAACTGAGAAAATTTCTCTCACTCGGCTCTTCTGGGCAGAAGTACTATCCCCATCAATAGTCCCTCCCAAGATCATGTGAATAATGCTTAAAGTGTCATTCTTGTTAGGATGTCGCTTCTTTTTCCTTGAGAAGTCTTCTTTCAAGTCCTCTTTTTTATTAGGTCTTACTGACCTCACAAATTTCTTAAGCTCTCTCGCTAAATTAGCCTCTTAATTTCTCTTGTCAATGTCCAACAATTTTCAATATCATGGCTATGATCTTTATAGAAGTCATAATACTTGGATCTGTCATGCTTGGATGCCGATTTATGTCCCATTCGGGGAGGTCGACTAATATAAACTTAGCCTAAGTTGCATCAAATCCAAGTTAGTATCTCATGTTGACTAGTCTAGAGTGGTGTAAGTTCTTCTTTATCGATTCCCTACTATCTTTTTTAGTGTCAGGGGTAGGTAAAGTTGACACTACCAAATATTGGCATCTTGAATTTAATAGGCATGTGGGCAGCTCATATGTCTGTCAATAAAGGTAAGCCCTCCCTGAGTCTATACTTACTCAAGTCACTTATTGGATCCTTGATTTCTCTCAATATTCTATAACCTTTGAATGCCAATTAACTTCAGCGATAGATTGAGTCATACTGCTCTGGTTAGAGTGATTAAGGTGCATCTCGTTTTGACAAGAGGCGTCATCTCTACCTCCTTGATCTTCATTACACGAATATGCTTGTATCTATTTGGCTAAGCCCATTGGATTTTGAATCTGCAAGTTATATGGATGTGGTTGAACATTATCGAGTGGTAGATTTTGGTTATTTGGATGCACAATGACTGGTGATTTCTAGTTGGCTACCACATGAGTGCGTTTTTCTAGAATTCTAGCAAAATTGTTCAAAGTCGACATTACTTGAGGATCTGTATCTCTGATAGGTTCATGTTGCTAGAATCTATGATGGATGTTTTCGATAAGCAATATGGAGGTTAAACACAAGGATTGAACGAGTGTCAGAAGTGTTAGTAACATGGAATGTTATTGCTAAATAATCAGTTATAATTGCTAAAAAATATAATAAAATTGCCAAATAGTCTCTTTCAATCCTTCACCATGGTAGATCAGACTATTATCGACAGGATGAAGTATATTCAAGGTTGGAAGTGATAGGTTGCATTAAGGTCATTTGATGGATGCATATTTCTACATGTCCAATAATCTTGAGCTATTCGATCTTTCTTTAATGTCTCTTGATCAAGACGTTTGGAATGGTTATTGAGGGCCATGAGTTCGAGCACATGAAAGCAAGAGTCATTAAAGTAATGTCAAACTTGGTAGTAATGTGGTAGTTTCTAAAAAAAAAAAAAAAAAAAACTTGATCAAAAGACGTTTTGGAATGGTTATTGAGGGGCCATGAGTTTCGAGCACAATGAAAGCAAGAGTCCAATCTAAAGTAATGTCCAAACTTGGTAAGTAATCGTGGGTAGTTTCTAAAAAAAAAAAAAAAAAAAAAAAAAAAAAAAAAAAAGCTCCTCCTCTCTAAAAGTATAAGCTTTTTTCTTCTTTCCTTTAGGTGGCTGCTAGGAACAAATATATCTTCAGTCAATTGCAACCCTTCTTCTCGTCTTTTTTCTCACATATTTTCTTCTATTAATTTTATTTTAGTATTGTTCTTTTCTCTTTTGTTTTGTTGCCCTTTATGACTTTATATGTATTTGCTCTCTTTCTCAAGACAGATCCATGGTTTTGCTTTTGATTTTGATTTTTACTTAGGGTCGTCTGACCTTCTCAACCATTCAAGGAAGGTTTTGACAAAAATCTTTTATGAAAGTGGCTTAATATAAGGGAGATCTGGTACATTCTCTACATCAAGATGAGTTTATGCACTAGATCTTGTTTGTTAAAGATCAAATCTAGATTTTGAAAAGTCGCCGCAAAGGAAGTTTGGTGCCATGGTGCAACATTTGCTAGTGGGTTACTCCTTCCCTTAGACATAGGCTATTTTAACAACCTTGTGTCTCTTCTAAACCAATATTGTATGCTTGGTTGTGCTGAGTTACTTTACCTCTTGTACTCTTGTTTTATGATATTAATATATTTTCCTATTTGTGCCAAAAAAAAAAAAAAAAAATATATTTTCCTAATTTGTGGCTCTAAAAAAAAAAAAAAAGATTTGTGGTAGATAATATGTTAATTTTTTAAATTAGAATTTTGTGTTTGAAGCCGAATATTCAGTTTTAATTTTCATGTATTACATTGAATGTGGACGCTGCATTGGTTACTGTTAATTGGTCCATTTGAATTTTTTAATTAAAATGGTTAATGAGACTTTGGATTGCAAATTTTAAATTATTAGTTTAATTTTGTGCCAAAAAAAAAAAAAAAGATTTGTGGTAGTAATATGTTAATTTTTAAATTAGATTTGTGTTTGAGCCGAATATTAGTTAATTTTCATGTATTACATTGATGTGACCTGCATTGTACTGTTAATTGGTCCATTTGAATTTTAATTAAATGGTTAATGAGACTTTTTGGATTGCAAATTTTAAATTATTAGTTTAATTGATCATTATAGATATAGACAACGAAATGAGTTTGGTTCTGAGTTTTTCTTTTAGGTGTATATTATGAAACAATATCATTTTAACTGTATTTAATTTATAGAATAGAAACAATTTTTCATTAGTTGCTAATAAAATTTTAATTAAATTGAAAAGATTAAGACTAAAGTAACTCATATGAAGCATGTTTATTGATGGAACATTGAGTCTTTGTACCATGAAAAAAACAAAAGCAATCAATTATAATAATTAATTAAATAAATTAATTATAAAATTTTTATACAATAAATTTATTAATTTATATGGAATGCTTCATAAATAATAACCGGATTTCATAATTTACGTTATAGTTTGAATAAAATATAATGTGTACTGAATTAAGTTATAAACAATATGTCATGCATATATATATGTGTATATGTATGAAGGGTAAAAATGTAAATTCATAAAAATACAATTTCATCCCATCCATTATTTATTTTACTTCTTCTTTCTTCTTTTCCCCAATCCAAACAAAGGTGTAAAATAAAGAGATAAAATGAATAGTACTCTCTACGTCCCATGTATATAGAATCATTTTCCTTTTTTATCTGTCATAAAATGTACTCCTATTTCTTTTTTTAAAAGATAATTTATTATTTAATGTCTTAGTATACCTTTATTTAATGTACACTCATATTTCCATTTGATATCTATAATTTAATATTAAAAATTTAAATTTTGGAAAAAAAAACTAAACAAAAAAATATAATTTAACTGTATTACTTAATTTTTTTTAATCTATATCAAAGTCAAACTAAACTTATGTATATGGGACGAAGAGAGTAACATTTTACATCCTTCTTTCTCCAAGACGAAGGTAAAATATAGAAATAATGTAAAATTGAGGTGAAAATATCTTGAAATTCTCAAAATTTTAAGTTTAGTGAAAATAATGAAGAGAATATAAAATAAATTTATTTTAGCCCTTCCTACCCTATTTTTAGTCTACGTCTGAGAGGAAAATGAATATTAAAATTTTATACTTTTATTTTACTTTCACACTTATTTTACTTCGTCAATCTTCTCAAAAATGGCATTAGGTTTAATTGTAATTTACTGCAAAATTTTAATTTCAGAAATCGACCCCGGCCCAGAAGCAAAACACCCACACACTCACTCTCAAGGAATAAGTCGTTCATCTCTGTTTCTCCAGCTAACTCCTCCGAAGTAATACACACTTCCCAAAGTTTGTCAATACAAACACAAATACAAAGAAACCACAGCTTGAAGCTTTTAGTCTCTCTGCTATACAATACACACGTCAAACCCACGAAACCTGTACTGTACAACTTATCAGTAACAAATACCATTTGTTGTTTTTTTTTTTTTTCTTTCTTTTTAAATTTTCCTTCTTTTTGCAAAACAAGAAATGATTCTGTGAAACCCTAATTTAAATCTTCTAAAACCCTAAAAACCATTTCTACATATCAGAATGATTAATGGTTGTGATGATGATGCAGCCACAGCTGACATCCTCTTCTACAACACCTACCCAATCCCCTCTTTCTCTTGGCCTACTCTCAACTCCTCACCGCCAACCGCCGTTAACTTCGTTGTCAGTTGATCATGTAATTGCGCCGTCCATCACGGCTGTGCACCACCCCGCTGAGCCAGCAGCTCCGATGCTGGCCAAGGTTAGACTATCTGACATAGCACCTTTTGATGGGGCACCATCTGGGCTCTACATGAAGGCGGTGGAGGCTCTTTCTGGGTCCTTGATGAGGCATAATGCTGCAGTCATTGAATTAGGCAGTGAGGATGCTGCGCTTATGAGATGTGGGTTGGAAGCAGCGCGCTTGTTTTTCAGGTGTCGGGTTCAGAACGTTGGCAGTAAGGGAGGCGGCAGCCGTGGCGTGTACATGTACAGGGCTGGAAGGTAAGTGATAGAATTTTTACTTTGTTTCTATTAATTTGTGTGTGAAAGAAAATAGTAGTATAAGTTTAATTTAGGTAAATTAAAGTAGCTTTACCAAGTCTAGTTTCTACTGATCAGTATATTGCTTGATTGAAATTATGCAGAAATCAATTTTTATGCTAGAACCCACATTTAAAAAAAAAAAAAAAAAAAAAAAAAAAGTATATTGCTTGATTGAAATTATGCAAGATCAATTTTTATGCTTAAGAACCCACATTTAAAAAAAAAAAAAAAAAAAAAAAATCCTATGCAAAGTCATTTTCTCTTGTCACGACTCTTTCTTTTTCATCTAGATATTATTTAGGTTTACAAAAAAAAAAAAAAAAAAAAAAAAAATCCTATGCCAAGTCATTTTCCTCTTGTCACGACTCTTCTTTTCATCCTAATATTATTTAGGTAATGAGACATTGCCAATTATCACCATTAAATACCTAGAAATTGTCAAACAACTGACAGAATTTGTATATAAAGATGCTGGCTCTGACTGTCTTGATTTGTTCTTTTATTAGAAAATGGTAGTTGATAACTATAAATATTTGGTGGAAGAGTTTGGGCAACCTTGCATTTGGCAATGCCCGTAAAGTAACAGGTTTCAGACTATGAAGCAGGATTTTAAACTAGCTAAGTTGAGTGGAGCTTTGGCTAGCTCAGGCAGCTCATTCATTTATTAAAGAAGCTGTAAACTAAGGCTTGAGCTTGGCTTATTTATTAAATAGCTGAGCAAGGTGCTAGTTATGAGCCTAAATTAGCTATTTCTTTTGATGAAATTAAGTTATGAAATAAATTATTTGATGTCGTTACTTAAAAATTAAATATTTAATTTAAATCATTATAAAAATACTTAAATCTTAAAATACTTGAGGGTAAATCTTACAACAACCCTAAGGTTTACCATATTGAGTACATCAATTATTGCTCGTTTAAGATTTGCATTTTTGGTCCCGATATTTGTTAAAGACCCAATACTTTAGTTAATATTTATAAACATGAAAATTTTTACTACACTTATCCTTGAAGAAATTTCACTACACATATCCTTGAAGTTTTAACCTGTACAACACTCAGATCCCCAAAAACTTGAAATATATCATATATTATTATAATATTTTCATTCCCTCAGAATCTTGTACTTGTCATTGAAGTTAGTTCAGGGACGGAGTTGCTAATTTTGAAACAACAGGGATTGAAGTGATAAAACCTTAGTGGATACTCGATAATATTTATTTATTTAATGCTTTGTATGCTAAGTTGTGTAAACATCTGAGCTTGTTTGTGGGTATTCACTACAAAATTTTTTGATAATATTATTTTACGTTTCATTTTCAATAAATTTTTAATTATCTTTATGCATATTATAATTGAAAATACAAACATTAAATTTAAAACTAAATTACTACTCGAATTATACTCAAGCCTAAATGAATCGGATCAACAACAACAACTAAACTTTAATCCCAAACTAGTCGGGATCGGCTATATGAATACTTTGTTTTCATTTTACTCTGTTCATATCCAAAGTAAACCGGCTCATAAGCTTAAAAAATTTGATCTATAACTAGCCCTTGCTTGGCTTGTTTATTAAATGAGCTTGGAAATAAAGCTTGAGTTTTGCTTATTTAGCTTAATAAACAAGCCTCAAGGTGCCTTTTTTTCGAGCCAATTTTTGAGTGGCTTATGTACAGATCTGCTCAGCTCATTTGAAACAGTAAGTCTATGAAGCACACATTCTGATAAAGTAATGGACGCAAACAGTATAATGATTTTTTGTTTTCTTTTGAATCCCTTTTAGAAAATTTTATTAAGAGCCTTTTTGTTTGTTAATGTTAGCTTGAAATGTTGGTCCATGAAGCAGATCCCCTAATACAATAACAAAAGTCTAATTATCTCAAAAAAGCAACAACTAATTCTCCTAGATGGTGAAATTTACAAGAAAAATAATTAGATAACCTAAATATTAATTTTGATTAGTTACTCAACTATTATCTGTTTTATAAAAAATAAGAGTTTTCTCATTTTTACTGTTATCAGCTCTTCACTCTGTGCAATCCCTTTTGGTGCCAATAAAATTGGTATTATGCTATTGTGATATCAATATAAAATATTAGGTATTAGTAAATAGGTGCTCTGTTTCCTTGTTTCTTTTTTCCTGTTGGTCCTTCTCTTAAAGTTAGAACACATCAGCATGCATGGACTAGTGTAGTACCTCCATTGCGTTGTCTCTTTTTAGTACCTAGGTGAGTTGTATCAGATGGACTTGGTTGAATCTAAGGCCAATATTTATGCTTCATTATTTTGATCTTCTCATTGTATAAGGGTGACTTTTTCTTCTTCTTCTTCTTCTTCTTCTTCTTCTTCTTCTTCTTCTTCTTCTTCTTCTTTTTTTTTTTTTTTTTTTTTTTTTTTTTTCTTCTTCTTCTTCTTCTTCTTCTTCTTCTTCTTGCTTCTTCTTCTTCTTTTTTTTTTTTTTTTTTTTTTTTTTTTTTTTTTTGTGGGTGGGGGTGTGGGGAGTATATATTTTTGTGGTGGTGTCCCTGCAATGGCTGATGTGTTTGTAGATTTGGGTTTTTCAGAATTGAACTATTTGTCATTGTTTTATTTTTTTTTTTTTTTTTTTTTTTTTTTTTGTGGTGGGGGTTGTGGGAGTATATATTTGTGTGTGTCTGCATGGCTGATGTAGTTGTAGATTGGTTTCAGAATTGACTATTGTCATTGTTTTATAATCTTTAAGAAGCTTCTTTTTGGTGCTAGGGCTTTGGAAGATTGTGACTCGTCTCCTCCATGCATGGCTGAAATATTTAGGTGCATGGGGAAAGCGGCTCGTGCTGCTTTATGTGCAATAGCTAGGCATCTTCGTTTGCGGAGCGAGTAAGGATATGGTGATGATGGAGTTTTGTTTAAGAATTTTCTCTTCATATACTCTTTTCTTATTTTCTCATGGTTCAGTAACATCTCCTTACAATCTATCTTTCTTGCAGTGTCTTCAACCTTCTACTTGATGATACCCCCTTACCTGCAAATGAGGTGTCCTCATCAGTACTTCTTGCCACCTATTCCCATGCTTCCTTGCAAAATGGAAAGGTGGCTATTGGAGGAGGGAAGTCTGCAGTTAATAGTGAAGTTGAGAAGGGATTGTTAACACTCATTTCTTCAGATACTCCTGGTTTACAGGTTTCTTTCTACTTTTGAAAAATATCTGAAACTGTTATTTTATGCTAGCTGTTTTTCAACTAGTATTAACATATGCGTTTGCTTCAAATGCTTTCTTCATAGTTCTATGTTACTTCCCTTGTCTTTTGGACAAACTTGAATTTGTTTTTTATTTTCTTTTGTTGGTTCCTGGTTTACATTATTTATTTGAGCCAGGTGATTACTTTCCTAGTTATAGATGGCTGTTTTAACCAATCAGACCTGCTTTCTCCTCTTCTATTTGTTATAGATTTAAATCATCTAAAATTTTCTTGCCTTTGTAGGTTTGTGACCCCAATGGTCGATGGTACCTGGCTGATTGTGGTTCAATGGATCTTTTACTCATCACTGGCAAGGCTCTTAGCCATGCTACTGCAGGCCTTCGTCCTGCAGCTTCATATAGAGCAGCTCTTGATTACTCATCTGGCACTAATAATGGTGGGAGGTATAACCATTTTTGTTTGTTAGTTTTATAATGCATTTTGTGTTTGTAATGAAGTATATCAGTTATTTCCAATTCAATCCACCTTTAATTTTTGTGATTGCAGGACATCATTGGCATTTAGGCTTATGCCACAGGGCAATGCCATATTAGATTGTTCTCCAATTGCAGCAGCAGGTCATGTCATTCCTCAAAGCTATGTGCCAATATCCGTAAGCCAGTTTATGGATGACCTTTCAGCTGAGGAGGATGTAATGTGCAATCAGTCTGATAATAACTATGTACGTATATTTGGTCCTCTTCTCAACTTGTTCGAACCTTTTCTTTTCCTTTGCTACCTCAGTCGCTTGAATCAGGTTATACAAAAATAGGTGTATGTTCAGTTTCTAGTGTCTTTCTTTCCAAGAATAACGTGTTCCTTGAATGTTTGCCCAAAATATACTGTTCAGTCTATGGTCCTCATTGTTGAAGGACATATGTTCAATCTACCCGCAATTAATTTCATATTGGGAATACTCAATTGCTTGATGGATTTTAATACTTTAATAGTGAAGCATTGGGGAAGGTTTTCGAGCTCATGTAATAGGGCTTCTGGAAGGGAAAAAATTAGTAAATTAGAAAATCGATGAGTTTGATGTGAGAAGTCTTGGCAGGGTGGTAATGAGATGAAATCATACTTCATGAGTTGCGTGCCATTCGTATTCTTGATTGTTCATGATGTTTTTGCCTTCGTGTATTTGCATTATAATCTCAACAATTTCCCATATTCTTCCACTGTTTCTAATTATTTCTGCACAAAACAATCTGCTCAAATGATTAGGCTTATAATGATTTTCTTTGATTCCAATTCTTGCTCATCATCTTTCATGTCTTTAAATTGAGACATTTGATTCTTCAAATTCCACTTCTACTCTTCATCGTGGGGGGTTTTGCGTCTTGGATGTTATTTGATGGCAATTTCACCAATTGAGCAACTTGCTCTTTCAGTCTTGATGTTATTTCCTTCATGACTTGTTTGTAAGATTGTCTTTTGACTTTCAGTGAGAATGTACTTTGCCAAAAGCAGCTCTTGTTATTTGTGCTGAAAAAATTAGGGTATGCATCCAAAATACAGGGTTCAATGGGGGACAGATCTGTGATTAGGTTCTTCCAACAATTTGGCCATATAGCTTGTATACAGTCACTGCATTCTCCATTCTTGAAGTCATAATAATTAAAGAAATATTTGTGAATCATCTTTTCTGTGATTCTACTAATCTAATAGTTCATTATGTGCTCTGATATCAACTTGTAAATTTTGAACGTCACACAAAGAAATAGTGCTCTCCATGGAAGAATAGTTTCAGCCTTCTGCTATGAAAGTAATTTAGCACTTTGAGCAACATGTCCATTATTGTTTTTCTAGCAGGCGAAACCTGGTTGCTTCATGTATTATGGTGAAGGGTTAGGCTATATGGCTTTGTGGATTTAGGTTTACGATAAATAAGAGTAAGACACAAATCAGATGCAAAGAAGTTGCTATGGAATGGAGAAATCATAGAGCATCAAAGAGTGAACATGATTGCAGCAAAGTAAAAGTAAATATAGAGAGGAAAAAATAAGCTAAAAGAAGTCCTCGTAATTGTGTCATAAAAAAATTTTTAGATGGGAAAATTCCATGTGAACACCATCCAACAAGCAAATATAAATAATCTTCTAATTAAGAACGCTTGTTAGCTAACATCAATATCTCCTAAACAAGAAATTCTTTGCTTAGCTTAATGACTAAATCTAAAATAAAAGATGTCTCTTTCGTAAACTGGAAAACCTAACATAAGAAATTAATAGAAACTGCTAAAGGGAAAAGTACTTGTGTATTTAGAGAAAACAAATCCTAACTTCCACTTCTTTTGGCTCAGCACTAGTTTTGTAATTGGCTGAAAATATTTTTTAAATTCTGATAATAGAAGAAAAATATTGAAAAAGCCAATGGATGCAGAAATGTTATTGGGTGAACCATGTAAAAGAATACAGGGATATCTTCATCTTTATTCTTTTGTGTCAAACTTTCTTTCTTATTATCCAGTTTGATGCCTAATTTTCTATTTTTAGCTTATGAATTGAAGTTTCATTTCATCTGTATATAATGTGAAATATGATAGTGAACTTCTAATTTACAGGTTGCTCGATGTAACTTGAATAAAGAACCATCATTAAGAAGTGTTCTCTCAGATCCATTCTCGTGAGTTATTCTTTGTCCTTGCAAGTTCTTTTCTTTTTGGCACATTGGGTTAGGCATAAGGATGTCCAAGTTTGATTTCTTGTTAAGACTAGTTACAATTTGGAATGAAATAAGGTATTACTAAAACAAGGTGATAATAATATTCACCATATCGTGGTTCCACATTGTTAAATTCATTTCATGTAAAACGTTTCACACCAAGTTTCTTGATATGAACATATACCAATTGTTTCTTAAATGGATGCATTACGTAAGTTGCAAATTTGTATTGTTGTTAGGTTCTTTCATTTCTTGGACAAACACCCACTATACTCTTCTTGCTGTTTACTCATGCAGTCTTATAATAACTTAGCCTAAGAAGAAATATATGTGATAGTACTCTTAGTAACATTCTATATGTCGATCTTCACTCGTTATAAATTTTATGTATTTATTAAGTCATTGAGAAGGAATGACCTCAAGTTATTGGGGTTTTTTTACTTGCAGTGCGAGACTAAACCATTCATTGTTCAACATAAGTTGGTAGTATTAGATGTGAAATGTTAAAAGATGACAAAAAGAAGTTCAAGGTGGTGGGATTTAAAAGAACAAAAACAAGTAACTTTCAAGATTAAGCTCTCAAGGATTGGAACGTGGAGCTTTGATCTAGAGACAAACAGAATGTGGATAATGATGGCTGCTAAGATAAGGAAGGAGGTTGTTGAAGTTTGACGCTCTCTTAAGCAATGAAGGTGAGGTGGTAAGGTTTTCTCAAAGGCTTAAGAGAGTAACACAAAATATGTAACCTTGTCTTGTCCAGGAGAATGGGATGGATTAGTATTCTTATCTTTTTCGTTTGGAAGATAATGGACAGACAACTGAAGTTTGAAATGATATTGTTTTAACAATTCTCTCTCTTTGGTATTTGCTGGGGAGAGTGGGGGAGGGGGGGGGGGGAAAAAGAAGTTTCAAAGGTGGTGGGATTTAAAAAGAACAAAACCAGTAAACTTTCCAAGTATAAGCTTCTCAAGGATTGGAACGTGGAGCTATTGATCTAGAGGACTAAAACAGAATAGATGGATTATGATGGCTGCTTAAGATAAGGAAGGAGGTTGTTGAATGTTTGCGCTTTTATTTAAGCAATGGAAGGTGAGGTGGTAAGAGTTTTCTAAGGCTTAATGAGAGTAACACAAAATATGTATACCTTGTCTTGTCCAGGAGAATGGGATGGATTAGTTATTCCTTATCATTTTTTTTCTGTTTTTTCTGATATAGATTAATGGATCATTGTACAAACTGAAGTTTGAAATGGATATGTTTTTAAACAATTCTCTTTCTCTTGGGTTTTGCTGGGGAGAGGGTGGGGGAGGGGGGGGGTAGTTGGCGTTCTAAATGACATTAACTATTCAGGACTTAGTTGTATAAGGAGAGCTCTGCAACATTTAGCGCAGTTTTTAGAATTCCTTAATTTATGTGTTTGTATAGTATGTTTTGTATATGTATTATTTGTGTGCTCCTATTGAGGAATTCAAAAAGCCAAGACATAAAATTAATTTTTTCCCACATTAAATTTCACATGGTATCTTAGAGCCTGCTGGCTCTTGACACAACGGGGGGGGGGGGGGGGGGGGGTAGTGGTCTAAGAAACATTACTATTAAGGATTAGTTGTAAATAGAGCTCTGTTAGGAGTTAGATTCCTAATAGGTGTATAGTATCTTGTATATGTATATGTGTCCCTATTGATGAATCAAAAAGCAAGAAAATATTTTTCCACATTAAATTCACATGGTATCAGAGCCTGTGGCTCTTGAAACTTCATTTTTTCCCGTTTGTGTTGAAGAGTCTGGTGGTTGTCAGTGCTGGTGACCATTCTAGGGTCACTATTTTGTCTCACCGCCTACTCTAGGAGCTGCCCTAGCTGCCAATCGGCGTTCCCCCAAAATCCGGTCACCGGATTCCCTGCGCGTAGGCCTCATGCGCTGATTTACTTTTCTACTACAATACGGCGCGTGGCGGTGCGTCTGGCTGTTTCCGGCGATCGGAATTTGCGTTCTGGCTTTGTTTTTAGATTAGCAGTCTACTTAGGTGGTTGTTTCTCCGATCCGGCAAAGCTTTGGTAGGGGCGTTTTCAGTTTTGTCAATTTGGCGTTTCAGGTTACCTTTCTGCTCCTGTTTGCATTGAAAGGCTATTTTTTTTGGTATCTATTTTTGCGTTGCTGGTAGGGTGTTTAGTTTTTATTAATAATGGAATCTGCACCTACAGATTCTAAGACTACTATTACTGAATTGATCCTAGCAATGAATAAAATCACAGGACATAAATTGAAAGGAACTAATTATTTAGACTGGAGTAAGACAATTACAATTTATTTGCGGAGTGTTGAAAAAGATGATCATCTAATTGATGATCCACCAATTGGTGACACTAGACAACGTTGGCTCAAGGAAGATGCCAGATCCTCTCATGATAAGAACGTGAATGGAAATGAGAATAGATGAGGTAAAGAGGAATATGACAACTATGCAAACTAAAATTGCACCTCCATTCGAATAAGCACTTACTGCTTTCTATCTGGACCAAGATCAACGGTTTACCAGGCCTAAAAACATGATTTCTTCTCTAAATAAAGGCAAGGCTATCATGGGCACCATCGAGACCTCACTTCCTCTAACTCTCGCACCACCGGCAGGAGATACCTCCACTGCTAGACCAACAATGCTAACTCTTCTTTCCACTACTACCTCACCAATTATAAACAAGGCTCATATGCCACCAACTATAAAGAAGGTTGATATGCCCAGTTTTGACAGAATTGACCTGGTGGGATGGATGGCAAGGGTGGAGCAATATTTTTAGATCCATGGCATCCAGAATGATCTCAAGGTATCTCTAGCCTTGGGAAGCACGGATGGTGTGACACTTCATTGGCTGCAATGGCTGAGACGGAGAATCCAAATATTTCATGGGAGCAGTTGAAGATTGAACCTGTGCAACTATGGCGGTGATATTTCTGAAAGCCCATATGAAGATCTTGCACCTGCAAAGCAAATGGGTGCAGTAGCAAACTATATTGTGATTTTGTGGCCAGGGCAACACAGGTACCACACATGACAGTTATTGTGGGGTTACTTCTCTAGACATCAGACTCCATTCCCATGATATATAGATATAATTGTCGCGCCTTCATTTTAATTCTACCCTCCACCAGATCCAGAAACCCATCTCGGTTAATGAGTTGATAAGGGAGGTACAGCTTTCTGGGGTTATTGCAGATGCAGCATTTGTTGCTTCTGTTTTTTCTGCGTGTTGACATATATATGGGATCTTTGGATCAGGAAGATGGTTGCATAGTTATTATGAAAGGAGTAGTATTGAGCCTTTAAGTGAGTTTATTTATGAGGTTTGACATTACAGGGAGAGAGTAAATGACATTAAATATAAAAATGGTTAAGAGAGAGCCATTAAGCCTATTTTTTATGTTGATGACAGAAGAGAGAGAAAGAAAAGAAAAAGGGGGGGGGGGAGCCATTACAGCCTATTTTTTTATGTTGATGACAGAAGAGAGAGAAAGCCACAAGAAAAAGGGGGGGGGTGGGAGCAAGGAAATAGAGAGAAGCCCTTATTTTTTAAATAGTCTGATGTAATTAAATATAAAACACTGGTTCAAGAGAGAACCATAAAAGGCTTTTTCGTTTAATAAGATATTTTAAGTGATATTCAATATAAATGGTTAAAAGTTCTAGCTTGCGCAGGTTACTGGTTATGATATTTCCCAATATGCTTCTAAGTATAAAATAGTCCTAATAAATGAGGGGGGGGGGGAGAGGGAATAGAGAGAAGCCCTTTTTTTATATTGATGAATTAAATATAAAAATGGTTCAGAGAGCCATAAAGGCTTTTGTTTATGCTATTAATGATATTAAATATAAAAATGGTTAAGCTAAGCTTGCATGTGGTTATGATTTTCATTGCTTCTGTAAAATAGTCCTAATAAATGAAAATATTACACATGATATTGAAAAAAGAATAATTAGATACATGATATATGAGTCAACATTTCAATTGATAAAACAATATTATTGTCACTGATTCTTAGGAGACTTTAAGGTTAAAGGCTCAAATCACATGCCTTGGACTTTTTTGAGCAATGTCTGAATGACATGCTTGATGCTGTAGAAGAGCCTTAAAGACTTGGCTGATTTATCAGCCCTTATCACGTGCTTTTTGCACTTACTGGACATGATAAAAATAAATTCTTGTTTTGTCTAATTTTCTTTCCTATGTCGCTTCAGTCCTCATGGGATAGCTCGTCCAATCTCATGGGACAAGAATAATAAAAAATCATACTGAAGAATACCCAATAAAAATAATATAGTAAATATATATTTCTTAAACATCATAAATTGAGAAAAATTGAATTTTTTTTGCGAATTATCTTATTTAATTTAGTTTATGTTTTTATTTGTCACTTTGTTTGGTATAATACGTTATCTTAATGGATAATAACTTATATATTTTTAAAATATTAATAATTATTTTTAATGATTAATTTGTTTTCCTGTCTGCACAAAACACAAGATGGGATAACTATTTGTCTTTTTTTATATCACCGTCTATCTCAGCAAACACAACCTAAGAGGCTCGTCCTGTGTCATAATTTTGTTGTATATTTTGATTTGTAATTTTTTCTACTTTTTTAATTCATTTTTCTTTCTCAAGTTCCTGTTTCCAGTGTATTTGCTGATTTCACTTCTTTTCATGTTTGCGTGATGAATCCATCACTATATTCCTGGTGCAATGCATAAATGCTGAATGGACTTTTTCTTTTCCTCTTGCTGATAATTATTTATTTGTTTATGTTATAGTGGTGCATTCCTTGAAGATGCTGTTTTTGTATCATGCGGACATTCCTTTGGTGGTCTAATGCTAAGAAGAGTCCTAGAAATGGTAAGTAGGAGTTCTATTGTTTTCCATAGAAGTATTTCCATAAAGCTTAGAATATTTGTGGACAGTTGCGTGAAGATAACATTTACCCTTTCCATAGTGCACAGAAGAAAGAGCATGCAATTTAATCAAAACACGGAATGCTCTTTTTTTGGCTATTCCTTATCCTTCTTAATGGCATTCCTTTTGCCAACAATTGTATTACCCAAATCATACATAGGAGACCATACATCATAGTTGTTTGAATCCTAGTCATTTAAAACCTCCCCTTCAACTAGTTTGGTGCTTTGTGATCACGCTTCACTTCATTAGTATGGTTGACATCATCCTCTCATCCCTCATTTCTGTGTATAATAGAGTTAGTTATCTGAAGGGTGTACTTTGTGGGATCTCTATCCGATTTACAAATATCAGATAACAAGGTGTATTCTCTTGGTGTATGATGTCTAAGAACACAGAGATTTCCAAGAAAAAGAAGCCAAAATCTTTTCCCTTGTAGTTTGACACTTTGACTCTCCTTAGTTGGGGCACTTTAGTATAGCACATGACAGTCTGGTTTGCTTTTCATTGCACAAATACAAACACTTGCATATTTTTCTCCATGTTTCATGTGTATTATGAAGCATGTAGGGGGGTTTGTTAAATCCCACAACTTGTAAATTTTTTGTCGAATCCTTATGCTATCTAGTGGTCCTATTTGTTCTATGCACTGGATGGCCTTACTGATTGTAGTTGGGGGTCAAAGGTCAGCCCTTTTCAGTTGTGCCACCTATTTTGGGGTTTAATTGAGTTCATGTGGAAAATTTGGATATGTAGCTTACAGCTTGGAGGGTTTCTCCATTTAGAGCAAGACTGAGTGGCGAGAGTTCTTCAAAATGTGGAAGCATTAAAAGAGTTACTGCATGCCATCAGTTTTAGATAATTGGAAAACTGTGATTTGATTATTTGATAATGTAAATTCTTTGATAGCCTTTTTCTGTGAAGACTGAAATAGTTTACACTTCTAGCGTACATGGGTGGCTCCCCTTCTGGTGTCCTTATTAATATAGTCTTACTTATGAAAGGAAATTATTGTTTGCATCACAGTCAAGATGTACCCTTTGCAATGCAGAAATTGAGCCTGGGTCTTCGATTCCTAATTTAGGTAGGTTCCACTTGACTTATTTAATCTGTGTATCTTGAAATTATTTAACTTGCACTCTGAACTACATTGACTTCTACTTTTTCTTCTTAATACATCAAAGCTGTATCCCAAGCCTTGTAATTTTCTTCTTATATTTTTGCAGCCCTAAGAGCTGCAGCGGCAGCAGTAAAGCAGGAGGATGATCGAAGGCTATTTCATAATGCAGCTCTCCGGAAGCGTCGCAAAGAAATGTCCGACCAAACAGATTCAACAAGAAGACCAAGCAGGGTATGGCTGAAATAAGTGCCTTACTTTTTTATATGTTGGATCTTTGTCTCCTTGTGTTCATCTTGATTCATCATCTTTAATTTTATGTCTCTAATTCAAAACCGAAGTGGATCTGCACGAACTCCCTGATAATATCCATAAATGGCTTGTAGCGAAGCTGTGTTAGGAAAAAAGAGATTTTTTTTTTTTTTTTTTTTTGGGGGGGGATTGTTGGAGGCAGCTCTACTTTAAAAAAAAAGAAAAGAAATGGGGGGGGGGGGGGATTGTTGGGAGGCAGCTCTACTTTAAAAAAAAAGAAAAGAAATTTGCTTTGCATGTACTGGGATCTGAATCTTGGATCTGGGGATTTTTTTGGATAAAGATTTAACCATTTGGCCCCTTAATATATGTTCTTTTAGCTTTGCCCTTGATTATCATGTGTATTGCATAACGGTCATACCATCTTAGAAATGATATGTTTATTTATTTATTTATTTTAATGTTAATAATATTGCATCTACTGCTCAAATTTACAAGCATATGGCTAAAAGGTTAAACATTTCTTGAGAATTGTGAGCTATTTTTGCTGGAAACCCTAAAATAGAACTTTCTTGAAAAAAGTTCTACTCAATAATAGAACTTCCATACTCTGATAATTTAATGGGTTCTTCATAAATTCATTGCAATGGCCATGTCTATAACTGTGTTTTGAGCCTGTTTACTGGGGATGACAACGGTTCAGTTTTAAAATGGATCCGAATCGAAACCAAACCGGTCAAAACCGGCACTGAACTGTGGACAACAGTTTCTGGTTCCAAACCGTAAATGAAACCGTGTAGTTAAGATTTGGTTTGATGCTTCATTTTGTGAAACCGGAACTGGCGGTTCTGGTTTGAAACTGTGAAAAAAATGTTTTCAAAGAAACTCCCAATTTATTTTTTTGTTTTAGTTTTTTAAAATAAATTTTAAGAGTTTTTATTAAATTGGTTTAGTGTTTTTCAGTAATAATATTTATTATTATTATTTATTCAAGCAACAAATCTAAAAGAAAATTTTAAAAAATTTGAAATAGATTATCTAATTTCAGTTCCAAACTGGAATAGAACTGAAACCAACGGTTTTAAAACTGTCTTAGAAACTGCCTAAAAGCCGTTTTGGAATTGTGGTCATGCCTACTGTTTAATATTGCTTTGAATCACAAAAGCTTCTAACAGTAATTGGTCTTGCTCAGTTTTTGTGATGAGGCTTTTCTTATGTGCCTGAGATGCACATGCTAGATTGCTAGCATTTAGTAGAATATGGTGCCTCATTTATGGTAACCAGAAGGCAGTATGGTTTTCAGTTCTGATTACTTTCTTGTTTTCCATGAGAACCATCAGAAAAGATTTATAAATATTGCTCTTTTTTAACTGTTTCATAAGTTGTATATGGAAAAGTTCTGGCATATTTCCTGTTTATTATGAATGGGTTCTAAACAGTGGTTTTTATCTATTTTTATTATGATGTTACTGTACTTGGAGAAGGAATGGGAACTAATAATAATAATAACACTTAAAAGAATAAAAGGCAGTTTTCTGGAAGACTTTCAATTCAAAGGAAGTGTGAGTTTTGCCAAAAAAAATTATGTCAATATATTTCATCATAACTTTGTGTGTGTTGAAGCTCTTGACTGATAAGAAGAGGAAGATTATTATTATAATTATTATTGTTTTGTCTTTAGGAGAATGGAGATATTGCTGCTGATGATGGATTACATAAGGGGGTGCAGTATCCTTTTTCTGTCAATGAGAAAGTAGTTATTAAGGTCGTTTTAACACTCTGGCTATATTCTGTTGTTTGTGGCTGTTGCTAATCAATTAGTTGAGAAATTTGAAGGGCATACTGAATCATACAGGGAAACAGGAGGACTCCAGAAAAGTTTGTTGGAAAGGAAGCAATTATCACCTCACAATGTCTCAATGGCTGGTGAGTTTAGGGGCTTTCTCTTACCCTTGTTAAACAAGAAGCTGTTGCCAATAATGAGTTATAATATAAGCTAATTTAAATAGTGCAAGAATGCGGTTGTATTTCTAAACACGATGTCTCCATTTTAGTGTGTTTGAGACAATAGGCTTTTGATAATATCACAATACACATAAAAGAGTTATCATCTAAGGGAACACATTTTAAAGATGGAGACATTGTGAATTTTGAGCTGTGATCTACCCACCATCGGTCACCAATTTTTTGAGAAGTGTTAAATCAGGCAGTTTCTTGCATTTGTGTTATCATGTCACATATGGAAGTCTATTGATGATTCGTGTTCTTGCAGGTACTTGCTTAAAATTATTGAAAGTGGTGAGAATGTTCGTCTGCAATATCGCTCCCTTAGGAAAATTTTGAGCTCTCAGGCCATTGAAGATAGGTGTGCTTCCCTGCCAATTCAGAATAGCAACTCATAAATTCAAATTTCAGAAAGCACAATCATAATCTCCATACAGAAGCCCCATTAACATATAATATATACATATATGTCTTTTTGTTTTTGACAAGAATGTGATATGGGTCCTTTTAAGTTTATGTTTCTGACATTTAGCTAGGTTAGAGTTAGGTTATAGCTTCATTAACTAGTTTGTAGAGTAAAGAGGAAGATAACAGGGCCAGTTTCTTTGTAACCATGATATCTACGGTGAGAATTTTTTTATTAATTGTATTTTTTTGTTGCTTATCTTTTATTTTTCAGAACAAAACCTATTTTCCTTCAAATTCCTTTTCCTTAAACATTCCAGGAGTATATAACATCAACTGGAGATCTGGAGGGGGATGAGTATAATCAGCTATTTTCAGTTGTAGATAAAACTATGCATACAATAACAATAATAAACTAATCCTTAATCTCATATTAGTCAGGTTCGTTATATGAATCTCGAGTTTTTATTATGCTTTGTTTATAAATTTAATCCTTACTAGTAATGTCAAGATGTGAATTTATTCAGATTTGATTGAGTTTTGTGAATTTATTTTTTGTTCTCAACCTCGATCACGTTGGATCTAAAATTTGTTGAATTAGTTCAGTTCCCAATAATTAAGTTTCGACTCAGGCTCTTTTACTGATGAGTAAGCTGAATAAACCAGAATGACAGCTCATATCAACGGTGCCATAAATGGAGGAGCAAATTACATTTTTATTTGATTGTTTAATTCCATATTGCAGAAAGCAAATTTGCTCGTTAAGAAATTTTAATGTTCCTTTTTTTTTTTTTTTTTTTTTTTTTCCTTTTTTTTTTTTTTTTTTTTTTTTTTTTTTTTTTTTTTTTTTTAAATCACTAGCATCCGGATTCTGTTATCAGAAACTGTCTAATCCGGCTCGAGATTTAATCATAATTAAAGTTCTTCGACTCTCCCTGCAGGTATATTTAGTAAGGATCGAACTCGAGAGTTCTTTTCACATGTTCGGTCTGCATTGCTAACTAACTCATAATTAATTTTAATGTTCTTTAACAGGTCTACATTGTCAACCGAGTCACAATCTGTAAGTAAAAATTTTAATGTTCTTTAAAAGGACACGCAGTTCACCGAAAAGAAAATTAACGTTAACAAACTCTGATGCAATATAATAAGTTGAAGATCAATAAATTCATAAGAAAAACCAAAAAACCAAGGAAAAGTTGTAATACTAAATGATAAGACTTAACTGATGTACTATTGAACCATATTTGATACTAAATTTATGGCATCAAAGGGCTAAAAAGAGACCAACAATTTAAAATTATTCACAAACCAATTTTTTTTTGCAGTGTTGATCTGGCGATGTTTTATTACTTAAAATTCAAACTTTCAGCAATAATTATTTTGAAGTTGTTTAATAACACTTTTCTGCATATCAAGAGTTTCAAATAAGCTAAAATTTCACTTAAAATAATAAAATTAAAATTTTCATAGAATACAATAAGTCAATAGGCTTTTAAGTAATTTTACAATTAATAATTTTGAGCACTTAAATTAACATTAATTTTTAGTTTTATCAAACATTACCTTAATTTATTTAAAAACAAAATTGAATTGATAAAACTAAAAGCAAAATAGAGATGAGTAAAATGCACTAAATGTAATGTAAAGGTGCAGGTTGAAGGTGTACCAACGTTTCGTTTTACTGGTTTCTACGGAATTCCAGAACGACATCCTAGAAAATTGTCATGGCAGCTATTGCTCAATTTCAAACATCGTTCATGTCTTTCATGGGCAGTGGATAGGGATTTTAACGATTTATTATGTCATGGAGATAAGGTGAGCTTGGCTTATTAATGGTTTTCAAAGTGCTGTTGGGTTTTGTAGGAGCGGTGGACACAATTCCAGAACCATTGGTTTCAGTTAAAAAAAAGATGGAATCGAGATTGAATCACTTTTAAGTAGGTTTTAAGATGGTTTTAGAATTGTTCCAGTTTTTAAATCGAAATTAAATAATATATTTTAAATTTTTTAAAAAAAAATTTTAGATTTGTAGCTTAAATAAATAATAAAATAATAATAATAATAATAATATAATATAATAATAATAATAAATATTACTACTGAACAAAACTAAATCCAACTAAATAACAATTCTTAAAAGTTACTTAAAAAATTATAATTTAAAAGAAAAAAAAAATAACTTGGGAGTTTTAATAATAATAATAATAATAAATATTACTACTGAACAAAACTAAATCAACTAAATAACAATTCTTAAAAGTTACTTTAAAAAATTATAATAAAAGAAAAAAAATAACTTGGGAGTTTCTTAAAAACATGTTTTTTACAGTTTCAAATCGGAACCGTAGGTTTAAATCAAAATCGCCGATTTTGGTTTTAAAAAAATAAATAATTGGGAATCAAACCATAAGTTCACGGTTTCAATTACTGTTTTGAACCTGAACCGTCGACTTAGAATACTAACAAAATAATAAAATTTACATGATAAGTTAAAAGAAAAAAAAAAGTATTGCATATAAGATATGATAATTTAACAATTCAAACAAATAAAAACATAAAAATTTATTTTATTTACTATATTCCTTTACATCATTCGAAATTTTCAAATTGTGTCATTTTAGTTTCATTGCTACCACTTGTTTTTTTTTTTAAAAATAGTAAATTTGGTGAGGGTTTGTTCAAATTAATTACTTAGTTTATTAAGGTATCATTATTTTTAACTTTATCTTTATTTCTACGCACTTAACGGACAAACAATATATTGTTTAGAATTAAATTTTCCTTTGTTCATGACTTATGTTAAGTTGACTACATTTTCAAAATATTATTATTATTATTATTATTATTATTGCTGCTGCTGTTACTGTTGTCGTTGTTGTACATTTTTACCATCTTAGTATTTCAAGCAGTAAATTACATTTGAGTTACGCACAATTTTTATAAGATCAAAATGATATTTTATGCAAGGTGAACATCAATGTATTCTTTATTATTACAAAAGCATATTGATATTTTAAACTATAATATCTAATAAAATAACAAGTTGAGTGAATGTCATTACATTCACTCAACTTTCTCCTCCCTCATTTTCACTCTCTCCCAAACAAGCGGAGAGAAAAGAATCAATCACTCCCTCACTTTCTTTCCTCCCTTGCCTTTTTCTGTTTTTCCTACCAAACAGAGCGTTAGTCTCTTCAATAAGAAGCAAAGTAAAACCCAACGCAAAAACCCTTTTAGGCGTTAGCATAAATAGCTTGCCAGTTCTCGTTTCTTTGCGGCCAAGCGCCTACCTCTAACCTCTCTGCTTACAGAGCAAACTAAAACGCTAAAGATGGCTCAATCTCTAGAATTGTTGTTGATTCAATTCTTGATGCCTGATAACGACGCAAGGCGGCAGGCGGAGGAGCAAATAAAGAGGTTGGCTAAGGATCCTCAGGTGGTCCCCGCCCTAGTTCAGCACCTCCGCACGGCCAAGACTCCAAATGTCCGCCAGTTGGCTGCTGTCCTCCTCCGCAAGAAGATCACCGGTCACTGGGCTAAGCTCTCCCCTCAGCTCAAACAGCTTGTCAAGCAATCTCTCATTGAAAGCATCACATTGGAGCACAGGTTAGTTTATAGATTATCTTGCTTAGCCTCTTACAATCACAAAGCTTCATTCTTTAGAAATGTAATGTTTCAATTATGAAATTTTCATGCTCGTAATTCATCGGTGTATTGATATTTTTTAAGAAATCTTTTTTTTTTTTCTTTTAATGTATGAATTGCATTGTTGTTGCAGTCCGCCTGTAAGGCGAGCAAGTGCAAATGTAGTGAGTATTATTGCCAAATATGCTGTTCCAGCAGGAGAGTGGCCTGATTTGCTTCCTTTTTTGTTCCAATGTAGTCAAAGTGCACAGGAAGACCATAGAGAAGTGAGCTCTCAAGACTTAAATGCTTTCTTGTCTAGCAATACCATTTATTTCTTGATCCATGTGTTCGTATTTTGGACATTGAATTAGTAGAGACTCAGTTAGTACTCATATATTGGAGATAGATTCATATATTTCAGTACTTGCATATGATCATGTCTTATGGGTGGAACTTCTTGTTATGAAAAAATTATGTATTTTATGTCTTGTTATTTTGTTTCATGTAATTGCATTATGTTGACATTGACTTTAAATACTCTTTTTGTAATTTAATTTTCTTATGTTGTCTCAAGTTTAGATTTTCAAACTTTTATTAATGCACGTCTTTTTTATTCCTAAATAAATAAGAGCATGATAAGAGGAGCAATATTCCATTGTGACTTTGTAAGAAGTTAAGAACTTTTGTTGGTTTAGTAGCATGTGGGTTGTTTGCTGCTTTTATTATGGTCGCAAATGTTCCATTGTTTTTGGTAACCTGATTTTAAATACTTATTGCTTAAAATATATATCCCAAAAGATTTTCTGTTATATGAAAATACATATGGACGTACACATAATTTTCTCAAGTGAAAAAGTTTTGATAAGACCTCTTTATCTTTGCTTTTGACCTCCCAGCATTTTCATTATGGCTTAGTGCTATAGATCAATATTTTGATTGGTTGTCTGATTCTTCTTATTGTATTTGCTTTTCTTGCATAATTTATTTAAGTAAGGCTTGATGGTTTCTGTATTTGTTTTATGATATTTAAAAGATTGACCTATTAGTTGTGCTCCTTTTTACTTTTTTTTTTTTTTTTTATAATTAACCAGGTGGCGCTGATACTTTTTAGCTCTTTAACTGAAACAATTGGGAGTGCATTTCAACCTCATTTCACAGATTTGCAAGCTCTTTTACTCAAGTGCCTACAAGATGAGACTAGTAACCGTGTTAGAGTCGCTGCTCTCAAGTATTGCCTGAGTAATTCATTTTTAGATATTTTTGTTGCTTGAGTTTTCATCAAGAAGATTTTTTTATGGAAAATTTTGTTGCGTTATAACAGGGCTGTTGGTTCTTTTCTAGAGTTCACAAATGATGGAGATGAAGTGGTACGTTTACATCCTTTTAACATATTGTTATTTTGTCAGTTATCTCTGATAGTTGTATCATGCTTGCCGAATATGATTTGAAAGTAATCAATCACTCTAACATGTTTAAAAGAGAGTAACTGCCTCTTTTTTGTGGTTTCTTATGCTCCTGATGATCTCTACAATGACTGTGTACATGTTAATTACTTGACTAGTTTTTCCTTCCATGTGCAAATGTCCAGCATTTAATGTTTCAATTATGATTACCTGCTACTGGATTTTTTAAAGAG